GCCCCGCCCCCGGCCCCCGCCGCGCCGCCGGCATCCGGCCACGCCCGCCGCGCACCCCCGCCCGCACCGCGTCTTGGTACCGCCCGCGCCGCGCGCCCGCCCGCTCCGCCCGCCTGGGCGCGACCAACGGGGTCCCACAGGGGGGGAAGGTAGCACCTTCCGGCCGGGCGGAGCGCGGGCGTATGCCACGTTGCCCCTCGCCGGGCGGCCGCGGCGCTGTCAATCACGAGCGCAACGCCGCGATGATTGGCCATTGAGGGGGAGGAGGCGGGAGGGGGGCGGGACCGAGGGTGGCGGTGGCCAATGGGCACGGGCGGAGGGCGGGAGCTGCGGCAGGCCGGGTTGCTGTTCCGGCCTGTGTCCCCGGGCCCGGCGGGGCCCCGGTCGCAGCAGCCGCGGCCCCCGGCGCAGGGGGACATGGAGCGCCCGAAGCCGGTGATCGCTCGGTGGCCGCGGCCGCGGCGGGAGGACGAGCTGAATGGCTGCGGTCAGTGTCTGAGCGGTCAGGATGGAGAGATGGCACTCGAGAGCCAGAGCACCTCTGACAGCAGCTGGCACTGTGCCCACTCGGAGACACCTTCACCAAAGTGTTCCCACACCTGGAACCTGCTCCGCACTGTGATCTCTCGTGTGACATTTTTACCCCTATTTCCCAGCCTTAAATGTACCATTTTTAGCATGAGCTTTCATTTCCTGCTCCCAAAAATTCGTCTGGGGATGCATGCACTCTGACAAGGAGGTGAACCTCAAAGGTTCCCTCCCTGAGCCTTGGAACCCACATCTCTTCCTCTGAGATTTATCCTTTTGACCCAGACCTGATGAAAACTTAATTCCCACGTGTCCAACTAACTGCAGGATTTGCAATCACTGACGGGTTTGGGTTCGAGAGACCTGTACAAGTCTAACCCCTGCCATGGGCAGTGACACCTTCAGTGATGGTGCTGAGCTGAACACCGGCATCTGCAACAGCACAGAAAATCCTGTGTGCTTCCAGCCTGCCCTCTCCAGGTATTTAAGAGGAATTAGGGCTTCTCTCGTTCCTTCCTTCAGTTTTTATCCCACAGCCTTGCCAAGGGGACAGGTCCCAGTACCCCTCTCCCTGTGGTCCCTTCTGCCTCAGGGACGAGGCATCCTGCATTCCAGGACGGCTGAAGTGGGAATGTGTGCACTGAGGGAGAAGGGAAATCAGTACCACCATGCCTTGGCCGAGCTCCATAGAGCTGAACCACCCATGGCTGTAGTGCACGAAGCGTTGAGAAGGTCCCACAAGGTCCCACCCATGCACTGTCCCCTCCAAGGGGAGCAGAGGGTGACACAAGCGCCCAGCAGAGCCAAAGGAAGACAAAACACAAGTGCCGTGGTCAGGCTGAGGTAATAAATACTTCTATTCATGGAGAACAATGCAGCAGTGCAATGTTTTATTGAAAAAAAAAAAATCATCTCACTTGATACCTCAGAAGACTGCATCGCAACGTTGGAGGGCCGAGAGCCGCGTCAGAGGCACCTGTGCCGGGAGCCCCCAGGAGCCCTCCCCTGCCTGGGGTCTCCTGGCTGCCGACCGCTCCCGGCAAGGAGCGGAGGGATCGCCCAGGTTAATGCCCTACGTCCTACCACAGCATGGCTGGCTCAGTCTGGCTGCGTCTCCTTGTCACCTCCGAGCTCCCTGGGGACAGCGGTTCCCTCAAGCACAGGACTTGCTGGTAACCTGCTTTATTTTCTTTTTTTTTTTAAATTTTTTTTTGTTAAAAAGCCACCCCACATCTTTGCCCTTTTTTTTTTTAGAAGAGTCCAACGTACGATTATAGTGCAAGAGGGCTTGGTACAAGTGAGCATTACCAGCATGCCGTGGGGGGACAGTCCTCCCCTACAAACACATCATTGTAGGATTAAAAGAACACCGTATCTCCGGAGAGAAGCTGTAGTGGGTCACCATGAAACAGCTTTCAAACCAACCCACTTAAAAACAAGGTCAGGAAAGTTTCTAAACGATCAAATACATTCACTTAAAAAAAAAAAAACCCAAAAAACCCCCAAAAAAACAACGAAACAAAAGAAACCAAAAACATTTAGGAACAAAACCTGTTGAGATGGCCCCTTTCCCCCCCGCCCTCCCTCACCCTGCAAACACTTACATATGCTGCAACTACAAGCTGCTCCTTGAGTGGAGGCAGCGAGGAATGACCAAACACGGCAGGAGATGCAGAAGGAATCGAGTTCTGGTGACAGGCACTTAGTGGGGCTTGGGAGGGCAGCAACGGAAGTGTCTCAGGGCCAGCTCTGTCGGCAGCGGGCAGGGCGGCTCCCCGGGGAGCGCCTGTGCCCCTGGACACCCTCCCAAGATGCCAAACCATGGTTTCCTACAGCAGAGAGAGGAGTGCCTGTGCCAGAGATGCAGCTTCTGGGAACCACTGGCAGCGGAGGAAAAGAGAAAGGTGGGATGTGCCCATGGCCGTGTCCTCCCTGTGGCAGGAGGGGACAGGGCCGCACACCTGGCACGTGCCTGCGGGAGGTGAGTGGTGCCCTTCCTGCCCTGTTCCCACCCCGGCCCGTGGCCTGGCTGGAGGAAAGCGCTTTGCTGAGGGGGAAGGAAGGAGGCGCATGCGTGAACCGAGGGCTCTGCGCCTCCATCGTGCTCACTGGGATAAGGCATGGAGAGAACGCAGCAGAGAATGGAGAAGAGACGCCCCGCGGGGATCCTGGCCAGGAGGGAGGCTTTTCCACCCTGGCACCACACCAGTGTCTGCCAGGCTCAGGAATGCATGAGGAGCAAGCCCAGAGCTTGCTGCCCAGGCTGATCTCCTGCCCTCTAAGCCTGCTCCTACCCAGACAGGGAAACTGAACCTCCTGGCAATGCTGCTCTGTGAACGCCAAGCTACACAGCTTAGCATGAAATAGAATAAACGATAATGAGATCTCGTCTCTCCCTTTCCTCTCTTTGTGCTCTCCGCAATTTTTGGGTAAGCCAGGCCCAAGTTTATGGCAACTGAACTATTCCAGCCTGATCTGGTGTCACACATGGAAAGACAAAGTCCAGCGAACCTACTTATAACCTCCCAAAGCTGCTTGAGTTCTCCCACAGCCCTGCCATCTCTCCAGTAACCCCTGGCAGCCTCATCTCCTCCAATTTGGGAAAGACTGCAGTTGGATGCAAGATTTCAGTGTTTTTCTGGGTGTGCAAAGCACCCCAAGCCCTTTCCTTGCTATTGGTTTGGCTCAAAGTGGTGCAGGAGAACCGTGGCTGCTGCAGGGGTGGGATGGTGCAGGCAAGCTTGCACTTGCCCCATGCTCACAGAGAGGATGTGAAGGCGATTCCAGTCAAACCTATCTGACCATCGGGAGATGGGATCAGTGTTAAGGCATGAATTATCCTCTCCCTTGCTGGGGATGCTTTCCTCCCACTAATATCTTCTTGCAGAAGGTTCCCAACCAGCCCAAGGAGGGATTCGGGAAGGCTGCCTTGCTACCCACACTGAGAAACGCCCACACTTCAGGAAATGGCTGTTTCTCAGGAACCTCAATCCTGATCTACCTCTTAAACCAGCACAAATTTCTCCAGTTTGGCAAAGGCCATGCCGCTCCCTCCGGCCCATGCCGGGCATCAGCCTCGCCTCTCCCGGCCAGCTGGGTCAGGCACGGTGTAGGAAACCATGGAAAGGACATTCACTGGCAGCTAGGAAGGGTGATTGGAAATTCAAGTATGCTTTCCTCAGCGCGTGGCCCAAGGTGGGCGTCAGGAGCCCCAGACTGGCACGAGGGTTGTGGACATCCCCACTCAAGGGCATTTCCGTGCACCCCACCATCCTCCCCGCTGGATGTCTGCCTGCGCTGGCGTGGCCACGCAGAGATCCACAGATACAATGTGCATCTGTAAATGCTAAAAATAATAAAAAGTGCAACGACGTCAGCTTCTTTAAAACAATCCACACTGCTCTGTTACTGTCACAGGAGGGAGGTGTCAAGGGAGCCGGAAAAAAAACCCTAACTGGAACAGTAGATTGCAAATTTCTCACAGCTTGCACATTACAGTGTAACTGTTCCCAAGGAGCCACAGAGAGAACCTGTCTCTTCCTGCCGCAGCAGTCAGGCCCTTCTCCTAGCAACTCTCCTGCCTGCCCCGCATCCTCCTGCCCTCTCCACAGCCAATCGAGCCTATGGAATTTCTTCACTTAATTAAGGAGGGAGGAGGACAGAGGAGCAGAGTGCAGGGGAGGGAGGGGAGGAAAGTGAGCAGGAACTAAGCACAGTCCTCAGGTTTGCGTCAACGATGCCTTCACCGTAAACAATGGGAAGGAGGGTCAGCCAGCCAGCCCCCCTCCCAGGGCGACCAAGACCTGAGCCAGCCACAGTCCTGGTCCCAAAAGGAGCTTCAGGCTTGGAGTGAATGAGGGAGACCATTCAGCAGATCCACCCCAGAGTGGTTTGTTTTGGAACGTTTTCTTCTCTTTTTGGTTTAAAATGTCACTTGGGTTTTTTTTTTGTTTTCATTTTTCTCTCTTCCTCCTATGCCTCCTCCTCCTCCTCCCTCCTAAAGAGAAGCCCCTTCCAGTAAGACAGGGCAGGAGCTGCAGGCGTGGTGGTTCCTGCAAGGCCCAGGAGGCACCGGTCACTTGTGACGCTGAGCCGTCTTCTTCCTTTTCCTCTTAAAGAAGCAGCAGCACCTGGGGCACAAAGGACAAGGAGGGAGAGTCAGCGCTGTGCCTGGCAGCCTGTGATGTCCCCGCAATGTCCCCATGATGTTCCTGCCATCCCCCCACTTGTCCTCATGCAAATGCATCTCTGCCTGCCCGGCCTGGGCCCCACCAAGCTGCCGGGACGGGGGGCAGGTGCTGGTGGGTGGGTGACACCACCAGCCTGGACTGGGAGACCAGCCACGGCCAGCTGGGGTGTCTCACTGCCAGGCCCCAGAGTGCCAGCCAGGCTTCTCCCTCCCAGCTGGGCTTCTCCCTCCCAGGCTCCACTGGAACACAAGGAGCCATCTGGGAAAGCAGTAAAACAGGGACCCAGGTGCTCCACTCCCTCTGTCCCACCCCAGAGGAACTGGACTGGGAAGGTGAGCTCTGGCTGCTTTTCCCAGCCGCAAGACACACGGTTTTCACTACTGCTCACTAACAAAACAAGTTCCAAAGAGACCTTGGCTCAGGGACCAGGTTTCTTTACTGAACCTTTCATGACAACCAGAGCTTCCACCTTGGATCAATCACTCAGTGCTGGGATGCAGAACCCCTGCTTCTTCCCCCATCCGATGTGAAGGTGGTGCACTGGATTAGGGGAAGCAAGAAGGATGGAGAGTGGAGGCTGAGGTGGGGAGAGGAACACCCAACGCAGCTGAACCGTGAGGAGCGGTGGGTTCCCTGTGGGATACACTGGGAGCAGTTGTCCAGATCCTAAACTCCTCCTGGCTTCCTGCACAATTCCTTGGCCTTGAACATGTATCTACCTTTCTACCCTCAGCCCACTGTCAGGAATGCTCTGCACATCTGTGTGAGTCCTCTCAAGCTATGTGTCTTTCTCCATCTGCTGGGACAGCTGTCCCTGGAGAAGCCTGGGTGATGCTGGAAGACTGCTCTGTCAGGCTGCTGGAAGGGAACCGGAGTAGACCACCGAGTCTTAGAAGATCCTGAGTTGGAAGAAACCCACAAGGATCACTGAGTCCAACTCCTGACTCTGCACAGGACAGCCCCAAGAATCCAACCATGTGCCTCAGAGTGTTGTTCAAGTGCTCCCTGAGCTCTGGCAGGCAAACATGAGGATGCAAAGACTGTTTTTTCCTACAACCATCTGTTGTAGGCTAAAAACATTCCAAACCACTCTAACATCTTCTCCGAAATATTTTTCACTGGGTCCTTCAGGGAATGTCAGCTTTACACCCCTGTCCTCTCAGAGCTGGAGGAACTCTCACTCAGATACTTGTCCCTGGGTGCACAAGCTTCACTCTGGGGTGCAAAAGCAATGTGTGAGCACAACCTGCCATGAGCTGAGCCTGCCAGCACAGATCGACTGCTTGGGAGAACCAACAACTCTCCCTGTGACATGGAGAGCTCCCACAGCCCCTCAAGAGGAGGGACCTCTCCCACTGCACGGACTGATGTCCATGATTTGTCTCTAGGCTCCTGAAAAGGCCCAGTTTGGCAGTGGGATGAGGAGAAATGCAAAGCCCTTGTCCCTTCAGGGCAAGCGATGCCTCCATTGCTGCCCACCCACCCTGAGGTGTTTGTCTGCCACCTCAGCACCCCCATCCCAGGCTGGAACCCCCACCCCAGGACTGCTCTGGCATTCTGTTGTCCTGGGCCATCTGCCACCATCTCCTGCTTTAGTCTGATGCAGTATTTCTCCCACAGTAGCCACCTTCCTTCATGGCTTGTGCGATGGTGAGTAAGGGGGACGTCACAGGGAGAGGATGGAGGATGCATGAGTGATGGTTTTGCATGCAGTGGGTAAGGGAAGAAGGGGGTGAGCAGCACTCGACTCCTTGGGCACCGAACAAAGGGAGCTGACTGACTTCTGGCTGGTTTTCCTTGTGACTGTCTTTTTAGGCTCTTACTCAGAGGTCCAGGGAAGGGTTCAGGAAAGGAAGTCCTGGCAGTTCAGACAGGCAGAGGCAAAACACCAAAATAAAAGGATAAGGCAGGCTGACAATTACAGAACGTGATCTCACTGCATGCAGATGATGCCCAAGAGAACAGCCCCAGACTACGACATACAGAGAAGCCAGAGATGCCAGAGGTATTGGAGGCGATGCCTATGGAGAGCAGGGCAGAGTCAGTCTCCCATCCAACAAGGACATTCCTCGCCACACACGGGCTTGGTCCCCTCGCTCTGTGGCAATTTCCACCCATCAGCCCATCCTGGAACCTACAAACTCATCTGACTGTCTGCTTGACCCTTCACTTACTGGGTATGTGGTTTCCCCAAGGGGCACCTCCTGGGACGACCTGAGACTGGGACACTATAGCTTCAAAGCTCTGATAAAGCTCCAAGCTGGGCTTGGACCAGTGCTAATCCCAACCTTTCCACCCCTTCTTTCCTGGAGAAGCCCATTTACCTGCACCTCAGCTGGCTGGAAAGGAGCCACCTCCCACCTACCCTCTCTGAGTAGGGGCTCTGTCACTAATGAGGACTCCCTGGCCTTGTCCTTCCATCCTCTCTGGTCTGTGCTTCTCCAAGAGGAGATTTTCCAAGGACTGGCCCCTCTCCTCAACACTCAGTGCAGGGTTTTCCCTTTGTAACCGTCTGCGTGAGGAATTCCTGCAAGAGGCTCAGCCAGCCTAGGCCTGACTCTGCCCAACTCCATCAGGCATCATCTGCTCACAGACGTAAACGTTTGGGGGAGATGGAAAGCCAAATAGGAAAGGATTAAAATCTGATTTTGCATCCATCCATTCAGAGATCAGCCAAATCCCTCAGCCTAGTGTGGCCGGTCAGACACAGCCCATGCCCTCCCCAGTATTGCAAATGGTCCTAAAATCAAAACAGCTCTGGGTTGGCTTTGACTTTGTGCCTTTTTAGCATTTGGTGGGTTTGGTTTTGCCAACCCCAGTCTAGTCTGGTCCGCTCCCCCTTGCATGTGGACTGGAGAGAGGGACTCACCACAAGTTGAGCATTTTCAGGCAGCTACAGAGAGTATAGAGAAAAAACACAGAAAGGAAGAAAGAGCGATTAGTTCACAGAGGTGGGATGGAAGCGAGTCACTGCAGCCATGCAAACATGCAGTGCAGAGCGGCAGACACACACCAGGCCTGCCCGCCGCCCGCCCCAGCACTCACACCACTCTGCCCTCGCCACCTCTTCCAGGTGCGAGGCTGCTGACAAACGCCCGTTCCACGGAGGCACCAGACCCCCAGGTTCTTATCTGGGGCTGGGATCACAAAGAAAGGAACTCCAGGCACCATCAGCTCTTGTCCCCTGCAGCTCCAGCAGCAGAAGGGCCTGATGATGGATCTACACGTGGGACCTGCCCTCCAGCGACACCCACTGCCAGAATCCGGAGCTTTTCTCCAGCACACTCCAAGCAGAAGCACTGGCACAGCTCTGCCTGTGGAGTGCCAGGGAAAGCCCATCCCACTACTGCACATCATCTCAAAACACAGAGCCCAGCTCCAGCTCTCTCTGGCACCCTTTTCTGCAGAGCAGAATCCCAAAGTCCTTTGCCCTTCTTGTGTGATCAGAGATGTCAGGAAAGACAAAGCCCTCCCTGTGGCAAACAGAATGAAGTGATCTATGCTTGGGAATTACAAGAGATCACAAACCTGTCAGTGCAGAGCAGTGTATGCTCTGCTTCTCAGCACCTCCAAAACCAATCTGGGAGCACACAAACAAGGGCTGGAGAGAGACAGGACAGCTCCATATGCTGTGGGGGAGGGCCTGGGTGGCACAGCTCCTTCCCACCTGGTTTGACTTCTCCCTAGCACACAGAGTGGGGGCTGGACCTGGCCTTGCTGCACAAACATGGGCTGGAGATGTTCCTGGTTCTTCCTTGCACTGGCTTGTTGGACCAGAACTGTTGAGGAAGACAATCTGCCCCATCCTAGGAGCCACATGCCTGGGGGGACCCCCTTCAGAGCCCATAATGCCAAGCTGGTGGTCTCTGCTGGCCACACAATCCATATCTAAGAGGAATGTTGCCCACTCTGGAAGTTGCTCCTCAAGATCTCCCCCACCCTCCCAGCTTGATGAGGAGCCTGCAGCAAATCTGAGGCTTCTTGGGCTGGGAGGAGAAGGTGTGTCTGTGGCTGCTGGGATCAAGGCCAGGCCAGCTACCAGTAAGCAAGATCCCACACACATGGCTTCCCAAGGGATTGGGGAATCCCTGAGGGAGTGGGGAATAGAGAGCAGAAGAGCTTCAGGACAACCAGCACAGATGACACATACCTAGGGACCTTTTCCATCCATACACCCTTCCTTACATCTGCCACTTTTCCTCTTCATACAGAAGTGTCCACAAAGGCTGAGGCAAACAATGGGGGACAAGTGGCACTAGGATCACCCAGTCAAGTAATAACCAGGCAGCTGGGCCATGTCTCAGCACCAACCAGCTCAAAGGCCTATTGGCCCCTCGCTCAGGGGGTGCCAGAACTCTGTGGTGACCCTGCAGTGACAGTCCTGCTTTATTTCAGAGGCAGTGAGAAGGTGAAAAAGGTGACATGATGGTGCCGGATACAGGACAGGAGCCAAAATGGTCAAAGCAGCAGCTCTGACAGCAGTTCTCACATCTGACCACAAGCTACAGGAGAGGTCAGCTTAGAGAGAGCACTTTCCTCCTCCACAGGCTGCTTCTGCTTCCTCTCAGGGCTGGACCAAGAGAACTCCCAGGGAGAACAACCATCCCTGCAAGAGTTACTTCCAGACTGTTCTGGATACCTGTCACCCACCTCTCACAGCCAGAAATGAAGTGACAACTCTCAGACCAATGATCTCTTTGCTGAGCTATGCTCAAGCTACTCCTACACTCTCAGCATTGAAAGCACAGCGTGTTCTCCCTCTGCAATGGGGGTTGCTCACCGGGATTCCTGAGATCAGTATTTTGGTATCTGTGCTACTGAAATGTCTATCTGGCAGTACATGCTCTGAGTAAGAGTTTTATGTTCTCCAGGCATGACAAGTGTCAAAGAGAAGCAGCAGCAGCAGCAGCACTGAAGGCACCATGCACAAAAGCAGCAATACGCAAGGAAAAGGGCATGGGACACGAGCATTGAGGACTTTGCCACAGAAAAATGTCCCCACTCGCTTCCCAGGAGAAGGATAATGACCAACCAGTGGAAAGCCCGTTGTAAAGCAAACGTACTTAGCTTCCTCCACCACCTCCACCTCCGCCTGCGCTGTGATGGGTGCGTTGGAGTGTGCTCCTGTTGGGTCGTCCACGTTCAGCTCCCCGTTGGTTGAGCTCACCACCTGCAACACAAAGGAACACCCCGTTCACGAGGCTCCCTGGCAAGGGCTGCTGAGGGAACGGGAAATCTGACAAATGACCATTTACTCCTGTCTCTTTTCACCCTCTCAGCAGGCTGCTGAGTTTTGTGGGTGCCTTGGAGTCTCCAGGCTGGAGCAGCCAAGGCAGAGCAGCAGGCAGGGGCCTGTGTGTGTGCCCCCTTGCTCACATTCCTGTGCCCAGCACATGACTTGGCATCGAGAGGCCCCTCTGGGAGTGCGGGCACTGGTGTGAGCACTGACTGCCAGCCCTATCTACACACATGAGCTGTACCATGCTGATTGTCTTCTCCTGACACTTTTACAGGTGAGCAGTTCAGTCCTGTTGCCTGACAGGACTGTGGAGAGAAGCCTCAGTCCTTAAATCTCATTCCTTACATAGCCAATTTTGGGAATTACATCCTTGCTCCACAACTACTGACACAGTCTCTCATCTCTTTTTGCCTCACACCTGAGATGATGGCTCACTCAAGCTTTTCCATTACAGGGATAACCATCCTGCTCAAAAGAAGTGGCTAATGAGGGGAAAGCTTGCAGCTGGCTACTGTCTTAGCTGGGGGCTTATCTCTTGGGAAAGGCAGCACAGGATTTTTGAACAATAGAGTTGCTGCCACTGTGGAGTCCAGCCCCTGGAGTGCTTTGTCCTTACCATGGGTGAGCCTTTGCTTGTAAGAGCAGCCATAGGACTGGACCTTATTAACACCCGATCGCACTGCAAAGGACCCTCACCTTCAGCTCGGGTGCCTCAGGGGAAAAACCGGGACCCTGAACTGCTCTCCCTTCCTGGAGGGTGCAGCTCTGATGCTGCTCAGCCCAGTTGTTTTCTGCTGCTGCCTCGGGCTTTTTCGCCACACTTTAACCCAGCAGTGGTGCCCGCTGTGACACCCTGCAGGTGCTGCTATGGCTGTGGAGTTTCTGCTACACTTTTTGGCACCCCAAGGTGTGCTGGCCTCTGCCATTCCAGCTGCCACTCCGAGGTTCCTGTTGCAGCTCATGTCACCATCTGGAGAGGCACTGGGTCTGGCTGCCCTGTGGGTTAGCACAGGAAGCGCCTTCCTTTTCCATCCCTTCTGCCGGCCCGCCCGCCATCACCGCCTGAGGGAGGCGCCGAGCCCGCGCCACAGCGCCCCCTGCAGGCGCGGGCAATCACCGCCCCCGCCCCGCCCGGAGCCAGCAGCGCCCCTGGCGGCCGCGCCCGGAACTGCAGCGAGGGCAGCGCCGCAGGCGGGAGAGGCCGGGACTGGGATCGGGCTCGGGATCGGCTTGGAGCCGGGGCCAGAGCTGGGGTTTGTGTGCCCTGGGATACACACACACTGCTGAAGAACTGCTCATCCTTCCCATATCTCTGCCTGGAAGCCCCTTCATTCCAAAGTTACAATAATTCAGGAGGAAGAGAGTTATATTTACCATTCCAAGGGAGGTTCCTGCCTTCCTTGGCAGACACCTGTCTTCCAAACCAAGGCATCCACATAATTTTCTGGATGACTAATCACTGCTTCATTACTATGACAACCCCCAAAGCATCCTGCATGGGAGGAAAGTTTGGCCGACCCTTCCATGCTTCACCTGGATATTAGCACAGGCTCCTGCATCTTGCTGTGAAAACTGGGAGCTGCTCTTGGTTCCAGAGCTGTAAGGATGCCTGGTTTCCCCACTCTGTTCCTCCTCTTAGCCTTTTTAAATGTAAAAGGCAGCATTTCCCATAGGGTAGGGGTGGTACTCAGAACTCCTGGTGGCTCCGGATGAAATGACCACAAGGGATGAAGGGAATGAAGCCCTTGGAGCAGATGTCCCCTAGTCTGCACATTATATTAATTTTGAACACTTCAGTCCTACCAGAAGCTGCTGTTTCTGACAACCAGGCCCCCTGGGCTCTGCCAGAACAGGTCAGAACTTAGCTCACATGGTGCTCAGAGCTCTCCTTGAGTGACAACTCCTTGGTCCTCACCCCTTCCCTTACTCACCACGCCTGGGCTGCCCCAGGCTCTCCAGACCCCCACGCTTCCCATGCAGATCTGTAGAGCACTGGAACTTTACTGCGTTGTTCCCAGGGCTCTTCCCACACTTTGTTCAGCTACTTGTTAAATTCCATATCACAAAAGGCTTTGATTTTCCTCCTCGCTTTTCACATGCCGCCACTTCATTTTCATGTGGCAAATTCAGCCTTAAAGGGAATGGGGACTCGAAGCTGCTGACCTGCCAAAGTCCAGCATGAGCTGGGGCATCTGCTGAGGAACAATTCTCTGCAGCTTAGCAGCCACACACAGCACATTTCCTGTTCTCAGCTGCAGATAAGCAGAATTTTAGTGCTTACAGTGGCACAAGGAGCTCGTAAACTGCTCAGGTTGGCAACTCTTCCCATCCAACTCCTAGGGCTGCTTCAGTGCTGCTGTCACAAGGAAACATTCTCCTCACCAATGTGATTTTTATTTATGTCTCAACATATGTTATACACGAGATGAAAGATTCCTGTAAGAGCTGTACATGTTGTGCTAGCAGCCCTGTCCCTGGGGAGGCTTGCAGCCCATCAGGACTGTGAGTGACCTCTCCCCACGTGCCCACAAGAATGCCCAGGGAATTCAGGCTGTGGGAAGAACACTAGCACATAAAAGCAGCTAACTACGACACAAGGAGAGCCATTTTGCTTTGGGGTGCTAGGAGGGAGCAGGGGCTCACTTGATGGACTTGCAGGCTCGCTTGTAGGCTCCTTTTATTGTGGAATGAGACACTCATTAAAAAATATGAATAAAAACATCCACTCTGTACTGAGTGCTGAAGTTGTACAATCACAGAATGGTTTGTGTCAGAAAGAACCTTTACAGTCCATCTAATCCAACCCCCTGACATGGGCAGGGACACCTTCCACTAGAACTGGTTGCTCCAAACTGCACCCAACCTGTCCTTGGACACTTCTCCAGGTCATTCTCTGCTCACATCTGAGAGCAGAGCTACACATTCATCAGGTCCTCGTTATCTTTGTTTTTCTGCTACTCAGTAAAATATCTCTAAATTAAAAGAGGACCAAGGCTAATCAAGCCAAAACCGCATTAAATGCAACTAAGTATCAAGAATAAGTAAAAATGTCAACCTAATCTGCATTTTTCTTAGGGACATCCTGCACTACCTGTCTCCTTGGCTCAGCTCTGCCCTGCTCCAAGCACTAATTCCCATTTCACCAGAGCCATTGTTCAGGGTGTTGTGTCTGACAGCAGAGCCAGCTCTCACAGCAAAGCTCTGCCAAAGAGGCAGCAAAGATAGCAGAGTTCTCGTGTGCTTGGATGACTCCTGCACCTTCTCTGCAGCTTGTCCAGCCAGCTCACTCTGGCTCACTCAGTGCCAGAAGGTCCCTCAGCGAGCCTGAGCGACAACCAGGACACATAGGGCTTCACAAATAGGATTTTTTCAGGAATTTGAAAACACTGGTAGTGTCAGCTCCAACACTGTCTGTTGCACGTGCTCTGCTCCTCTCCTTCCAGTGCAACCCTCTGGAGACCCACCTTGTGCCCACTGTGCCCTCAAACTGGTGGTCTCCTGTGGAACAGCTGAACTCTTTTCCCAGTATTAATGGGGACTGTGTACAACAAATCCTACTTCACCTGCCTGTACTGCCCTAGGGCATCTCCAAGATAGGGTAGAGGGTACTTTATAGACCAGATCTACTAATGCTACTCCTTTCTGTCTTCAGTTTAACAAACCTGGGTTCAAAACAGCTTAAAAATTTTTGTTGAAACAGTAAAAGCCATGGTGCTGGCCATCACACTTGGGTCCCTCCCAAACCAAGCCTCGAGCATGACATATGGGACAGCACCAGTGAAACTGCTCACCTGACCACAACACTGCTGCAATTTGAGGAGAATTCAGGGGCTTCAACACAACGGCTGCACACAACAGAAGGAAGAGGTACCTGCACTGATCCTCCATGTCGATCTGCAGCCAAATGAGATGTCAGGTACGAGGTATTTGTCTGCCGGCTCGGCTGGATCTCCCACTCTCCTCGGCGATCCGATGACGCCTGCTCAGGAGTTCAGGAGCATGAAAGAAACAGAAGGGAGGGCAAAAGGTGAACGAGGAGAAGAAATAAAGGTGTATTGGTTAGTGAGTTAGTTTCTTTGCAGAAAGCAAGGCATTTACCCTTTTAGCTGGGCTAAAATTCCCCTTTACCAAGTGCACCCCATTATTTACTTCCATGGTGGCTGCACTGATCCACTGTGGGAGTGGATTTCATGTCCTTTAGCTGCTGAATAAAGGAAAAGATCTATTCTGGAAGTAATTTCTTTAGAACAGCTTCACTTCCATGGATTTCAGCACAGCCACAATTACACTGACAGTATTTAACTGTCTGTCAGGCCACATACACCAGAGCACTTGGCATGGCAGCAAGATGAGATTCACAAGCTCAACATCCCTCAAATATATATTTTTAAACTAAAATTTGCGACATAAACTGAAGCCAAACATTTAATTTCACCCAAAGGCAATTCCACACACTGATTCACCTGTGCAGTGCAGAAGGAAACATCCACACCTGCTTGACTGTAGAGAGGGTTGGGGGCTTTTTGGGTTTCTGCAGAAAAGTAGATAAGATGCTTTGGCTAACAAGATTCCTCTTTGTCCCCAACAGATGAACACATCAGGTGATTTAAATTATTAGAACTTCATTTATTTCCTTAGAAGAATCACTTTGCACTAGAAGCTCAGGTGGGTCACTGTTGGGGGTTAGGGTTTTTCCTTTGTTTCTTTCTCTCATGGAATGTTGTCTCATCTGTTGCTAAGATACTTAAGAGAACAAAAGATGTGGCTGGGACGAGAAGGAGGACCCAAACCCACACCTCCAATTCACTTCTCAAGACGTTTATTTTTTTGCTTTTTGCCTTTAGAGAAATGCTTTGCTCAAGACTTTAAGGGAACATCCCTCAGAAGAGAATTGTTTGTGTTTTGGTGAGAAGAACCTGATTTCCCCCATGGTATATTAAACAATTAATCATCCTATAATGTTTAGGTGAAAATATGACAAAAGCTGCTGTGCAATCCAGAACTGGACTATCTGTGCAGCTCAGAAGAACAAGGCCTGCAGGCTGCCTGCATATTTTGAAATTTCTTTGGGCCTTTGTGAACTAAAATGCCTGAAAAGGAAGCCAGGTGTCACTGTGCTGTCAAGGAAACACGATGCCTCACACACACACAATGTGAAGGTCTGTGGTTAAGGTGGACAACAGGAGACTGGCTGAACAATCCCCCCAAAACCAGGGGGTTACTGCATCCATCAGGGTATTTATTACAGCAGATGACTGTATCAGGGCTCACACACCAGCCCACACTCATCACCATGTATACATGCTGCAAACAACCCAGCCTCCTACAGCAACACTGCCCAAGGAGGGGTCATCTCCACTGTAGCTGATGGACTGGGATGTATCTTACCCTGTGTTAGCTGTGCAACCCTTCAGAGCCCAGGAAGGCTGAGCCCAGGTTGTTACACCCCATGCTTGGTTCTGTACCCACAAACCCCAGCTCGAGGAACTGAGCAGAACCTGGAGGCTGGGGGAGCAGAAAAAGCCTGGAACCACTTCCTGAGAATAAGAGCAGCAACAGCTCCAGCTGGGAGCTGCAGTTGGAGATTTACTGCAAGTCTGAATTCTGTTAACACAGAAAATCCAAACTCTCAACACCAACAAAACAGTACAACGAGAAAGGAAAAAATGGGGAATTCAATTTCCCCGTGGCAGTTCATCCAGACTGTGATGCCTTCCTGAGGGTTCTGCCCTGCCTGTTCTTTGTGCTCTGCAACACTCACACTGTGAACTGGACACTCTGGACATGGATGTTCTCGGGACACACATCCGTGTCACAGCCGCACACTCTGTGGGCAGAGGGCACCTGGGAACAGGCTGCCATCAGCACAACTCTCAGTCTGCTCCACAGTCCATGTGCTATGAGAAAAAGCACCTCAAAAAATGTTGTAGTCACGGAGTCCAACCATGCTGCATGTTTAACTTTAACCTGTTTACCCACAAACTACAGAAAAACAACCCCATTCCAAACTGGACTCTGGTTAGCTCACAATACCGAGGAATTCCACTGGTTGATAACTTATTTCAACAACCTGTTGCTTTGACAAAATCCTGCTCAAATCACCATCTCTAAGTCAAGCAGGATTTGTCCTTGCTATGACCAAGAATCAGCCCCAGCCATCTATAATGCCATGTGAATTCTGCTTCTCCAGTGCCAGAGGAACTGGGAGAGGAGCCAAGCAACGCACCTGATTGCGAAGGGCCTGTTGGGATGGTCGGTCCCGGTGGATGTGGCTGTCTCTTGTCACTGCAGAGGTCCCAGAATCCACATGGACAGATCCCACGGGAGTAGGCTGGAAAATAAGGTGTTCATTAGGGCTAAGACTCTCACGTGCACAAACCCAGCTTGTCAAGCAATAGGAAGAAGAAAAACATCAAAACACTACCCAAAGGAGCCAAGGAGAATTACAGCCAGGGCTATAAAATCCCTGTGATTTACAGACATGAAATTTGATGGTGGACACCAGCACCAAATGTCTTGTGTAAAAATTAATTAAGAAGATACAGTTAGGCGCCTGTCTCGATGTCAGATCACAGTTAGTGTGTCTCACACAGAATTATTACAACTGAAAATATACAGACTTGTTTTCCTCATCCCATTGTCTCACCACTTGTAAAAATCATGCTTGCATAGAAACAGGACGTGTTAAAATTAAAGCTTCATCTGCTCTCTTCTCACCAAAGTCATAATCCCTGCTCCCAACATCGAGATCTCCATGGCAACCACCGTGGCTGTCAGCAATAGCACACTTGTCTTACAAGGTGCTCTTTATCAACTGCCTTTGTAATTAAAGAAAAATGAAGAGAAAATCTTGATTCACAGAGGGAATGATTTCTTAGGAACTCCGTTGAGCACAGTAAGCATGGGGAACGCTAAATATAGCTGGGACACTGAAGCACCAGCAGTGGTACCAAGTTTAGCACTGATGGCATTTGATCTGGCACCAGTGACAATTCATTTACAGATGTCTTTACTGCTCTTTGGGGTGGGTCATGAGCACAATGACCCAAAACAAAGAGCTTTAGATTCTTCTACCATATTTCCCCACAACACATCCTTTGGCTAAGGTCTTCCTGAGTTTAACTGGGTTTTGATGGCCAAAGTCATGCAATGAGATCAGGGTGATGGTCCACATGGAGTCATGGAACTGCTAAATGGAGGCTGGTTTCTCCCACATTTCCTTGCCATGTACTGTACAGAGCTGGTTCAGCCTGAGTGTCCTCCAAGATATTCTGAGTTCAGGAGAGCAAGTTTAGATTAGATATTTGGGAGAAATTCCTCCCTGTGAGGGTGGTGAGGCTCTGGCAAGGTTGCCCAGAGAAGCTGTGGCTGCCACACCCCTTGTAGTGTCCAAGGCCAGGTTGGATGGGGCTTGGAGCAACCTGGGATAGTGGAAAGTGTCCCTGCCCATGGCAGGAGGTTGGAACAAAGTGGCCTTAACAATCACTTCCAACCCAAAACATTCTGGGATTCTACCATCCACGGAACATCCATCAGAAACCTGCCTTGATCTCCTGTACCTTTTTGATGGGAACATGACCATTATAGGGGGTTTCTGTGATTCTCCTTTAAGATGGATTTTAGATCCCGGTCTCCAATCCTGTGCTGGACTAGAGGGAATTCAGTCTCATCATGATCATTGTCACAAATGGGAAAATGAGGCTTTTATGTCCAGAGAGGTGGATGGGGCCTCTGTCCCTCAGGAAAACTTTGAGGCACTGCAAGAACCCCCTGAACACAACATCAGGACATCTCACTGTGTTGAGATTTGAAAGATTTGATCCTAAACTCACTGGCATCAACTGGGATTATTGAGAACAAAAAGGCAATGCTGGGGAAGCAGCACCTGGAAGGCAAGGCATGGGATTTGGCAGGGACAACTCACAATTGGCCTGCCGACCCAGTCGTAGGCGTAGTCGAAGGTGTAGCCTTTCTTCTCAAAGAGCTCCGTGAAGATGGTCCGTAAGTAATCGTAGTCTGGTCTCTCAAAGAAGTCTAATCGCCGGACATAGCGGAGGTACGTGGCCATCTCCTCTGTCAGGAAAGGGGAAAAAGCAGCAGCTTTTATCCTGAATCTCTCAAGTGAGTTCTTAGAAACCAATGTCTGGGCTGCCAGCGCTTACCTCTGGCTTTTCTCCTACAAGTTGTGGTTTTTAGCAACAGTCCTCAATGAAAAACAATTCAAACGCTTCTCAAGCAAAGATGGAAGTCCCATCTCTGCTCAAATCTGACTTCCACACCTTGATTTATTCTAAACATTTGTATAAAAATAAACAGAGTGAGAAATAAGCTCACTGAACCTGACAACAGGCTGCTCACAGGCACTTAGAATGCTCTTGCCCAGAGAAGCTGTGGCTGCCTCATCCCTGAAAGTGTCCAAGGCCAGGTTGGATGGGGCTTGGAGCATCCTGGAATAGTGGAAAGTGTCCCATCATGACATTGGCAGCACCTGAATATTCAAAACTAGACTAGAGGGGGAGGCTCCAAGGTTAATTTACCTGAAAAGGGTTAATTTACAGACCAGGGTTTGGTGTTAAGATAATTAATTGCTTTCCTGCATCTGGGTCGCACTTTGCATGCACAGAATATTGAGTCCTAGGAGCTCATGTCCTGCCTTTTCCCAGCTCTCCCTTGGCTCATGGCCTTGACTTCAGCTGACAAAAATAAGAATAGAACTGCTTATTGATACTTAACTCTGTCTGTAGCTTGTGGCTTGCATGGAGGAAAAAGAGGGGGAAAAAAAGTAGAAGAAAGAATCCTCTCTTTTAAGTACCTCCAGAAGGTGGAGAACAACCAGTTTCAGGGAAGGAAGAGACAGAACTCAGCTCTCTCATCTATCAGCCCAGACCAGAAGGAGCTGTGAGGAGGAGTATTGGCAAAAAGATGAGAACAGCCAGCCCGAATCTGTTCTGCTTGGAACCAGGTGGATTTTGGAATGAGACATCTGGGGAGTTACAGTGACTTGAGTGAACAATGATCCCATTCCAGGTTTGCTGCTCCTCATGCTGTGAAAGACGTGTGGCACAACTCCTACAGGAATGGGATTAATTGTGGGTGCTCTCCCTGGTGTCAGGACTTCAGAAACACTCCACAAAACCTCCCAAGCACACTCTGTGGCCTGGGGACCCTGGGAAGGCACTAACTCTGTACCCTGCTCTTCTGGCTCCAAGGTCTGTTTAACTGGAGACCAGGTGCTGGGCTTGGCTAGAAGCACACTTTAGTAACACTCTCCTTAAAATTGCTCCCAGAAGGTGGAATTCATGGACAGACACACCATTCCATCTTCCAAGCTGGCCACCTACGCCTGCAACACCTGTAAAACCTTCAATTTGGAAAAGAATTAACTCGGTAGTTCCAGCACGGTCCTTTGGGAGAGGGAAAATAATGAGGAGCTCTTTTGGAAGGAAGCCAAGGAGTAAAACAGGCATACAAGGCCCTTGAGCACTGCCCAGCCTCCTTGATGAGAAGAGTTTTGTACATTTTAAGACCTCAGGCCCTGCTAATTTATAGCAGCAGCTCCAGTTGTTTGCCAGCTTGAGGAACGACATGATGGATACACGTCATCCAATACTTTCTGACAGAGGAGTGCAGGCCCATCCTATTTAACAAGGTATGGCCACCTCCAGCTGCACTCACACGATCCCATCAGGGCTTTACCTGGAAAGTTCTCACAGAGAACTTCAACTGGAGTGTTTCTCTTTGTGTCCCCAATCTTCTGATATCTCTCTTTCAAGGTGTCAGCCTGCAGCGCACAAAGACAAAACAGTTGTGGAGAAAGAGTTCAACCATGTGAGAAAGGACATGCTGTATGGGAAGAAAAACAAGGTATTTAATGCCCATTCTGGGTGACATCAGGAGATGTTACTTGTAACTGAACTGCTCCCTGGACTACACCAGTAGGAATATTTCACATGCTATTGGGAGAGAACATCCAAGGACGTTCAAAACATCTTCCTTCACGAAAGGCAGGACCCTTATTAGTGTCTTACAAGGCTCACTTCTCACAGCCCAGTCCTGAGGACTGTGCAGGGAAGGTTTCATGGGAAAAGGAAATAAAAGTGCATGAACTGTGATGGCACATCTGGACCTCCCCAGGCTTAGGGCCATCGAGCTGCCTTCACAAACAAATGCACAGCAGTTGCACAGCACATTCACAGCAATTTGGGTGAAATTCACAGACCCATTGTACAGCAATTTGGGTTTTCCTCTGTGCAAAAGGATGTTACCACATTGATAATGACTCTAGATCAGTTGCACTTCTCCCAAATCCCAGGCTGCTCCCACACAGCCTTTCCTTTCACCTCCAAAGCATCTATCACTCAGCACTGGTTTAATACCTGGTCAACAAGGAAATGAAAACATTTGCAGCTGGATTTCCCACCTAAATCAACCCGAGGCAGAGAACTCTGCTCCAGCTGACACCCTAAAAGTGGGGTTTCTTGCCTCCATTTCAAAATATGTCAGTTGGACCTGGCAGCAGCATAATTAGCACTGTAGACATTCTCTGCAGACACAGCCCTGACAGTACAGACCAAAAGTCTAAGCCAAGGAAACCTAGAAGGGCAAAGATGCCACATTCTAAATCCAGCTGGGGAGTCTGTGTTTGCCCTGGACCTCAAAAAGGAGTCAACTAATTCTGATCAAGTTTAACACTGAACTGAGGAACTTTTGTAGAACCTTGTATAAACTTGGAATTATTTTAGAATAATTTACAGGATTAATTTAAAGCAGATGAGTTCAACTAAGCCAGAAAAAATACATACCAGAATAACACACTTACAGAGAGGCGTGGACATAAAATCAGAGAGTCTGATTTCTTCACAATCCCTTTCATGCTTGAAAAACCCTCCTTTGCTTTTACGAGCCGTTGCCAACATTTCTGGCATGTGCCTGATCAGGCTGAGCTGAGACTAACTCAACAGGTGGTAAAAAACAGCTGAACAAGGTCTATCAACCCAACTGGGTCTATACCCACTGACCAATGCAGAGCTCTGCCAAGCAGCTCCCAAAGCTTTGGCTCCTTTTTCCAACAGGAGCTCTTGCCTTCCCTGGTAAACCTAACTTGATCAGTCCCTTCACTCCCTTCAATGCCAAAACTGAACACAGTAGCTTAATCATCAGGGAGGTGATGGAGAAGTGAAGACGCAGCTTCCAACAGCTCTGGAGCCAGCAAATGACTTATTCCTTGTTAGCTCAGCTGATGGATGTTGGCAGCAGTCAGCAACTCAATTTCTTGCAGCTCTCCACATTGTACACAGCATCTCATAAACTCCCCAGCACTGAGTGTCCAGTGTCTCTGGAGGGAAGCCAAGTCCAATACTTGTGCCAGAAAACCAGTTTTTCAAGCTGAAGTCCATCTGTGCATCTAAACCCATCAAACTGCTCCATTATAAACAGGGATCACAGATGCAGCTGGGGGATTGTGTTGCCGTAACTGGAATTTCATAAACAATCACTGTGTCCCAGTCACGCTCCAGTTCGGGGCAGTTTCCAATCACAGCTCTCTCATTGCTGTCTCTGTCTCTCTGTTCAACCTTCTCTCCAAAATTGTACCAATTTGGCAATTTGAAGTGCCAGGTAAAGTATTTCTACCTTAAAATCTTCCCTGCAGCTAAACTTAATGCCTTGGTGTTAGGCTGCAAGGACACAAAGGATAGGACAGCATTTCTGGCTGGATTTTGCCAACGTTTCCCAGTGGATTCTCCTTTGAGTAGACACTAGCCAAAGTCTTAAAGGACAAAACCTAAAGCTTGAACCTACCTTCAATCCTTGCCAGGGCAGGCTGCCTCGGAGGAAATACATGAACATATGGCCAAGGGCTTCTAAGTCATCTCGACGACTTTGCTCTGAAAGAGAAGAGATGAAATTATTGCTGCAGAAGCAGAAATGGCTCTGAGATCTCCGCAGCAGCCACAGCTGTACCTGAGGTAAAGGTACCACAGGGACGTTCACTCACTGTCTGCAGCTCAGATCTTGTGCAAAACCAGAAGCTGTTTCAGAAAGCCAGAAAATGTGTAAAATCAGCCAGAAGCCATGAGGTAACATGGGAACTGCACAACACACATCCAGCCTGAGGTAGAATGGATAACTCTTAATTGCAGTGGAATAAAGCAGTGCCTCAATTTTTCTCTGACCTGCCAGTGTCAATGGTGCTGTGTGGTGCTGGATCATTCCCTCTGGGCTAAATGGGAATGGGATACTCACAACCAGCTGCAGGGATCTACCCTTGCACAGTGCCAACCCTTTCCGAATTTCCTCTGCTGCTCATCAGAGCAGATCAGAAATAGCTCCTTCCAGTGCCATGGAACACTTGCTGCTGCTGCCACATGCAGATGTTGTAATTATAAATGAAGGGGGGGAAAAAGGGGCACGGAGCCAAAGGAAAAATATCCTAAAACAAGCAGCCAAAATGTATCCAAAACCCCAAGGGAGGATAGAAGAGAACAACAGATATGGAGGCAACACTGGACTGGGCTGAGCTGCACTCTTGGGTTCACTGAGCTCGTGGACTCATTTGGTGCACCCTTCCCTCCTCTGAAGCCCACCTGCTCCAAAGAGCATGATCCATGATCCAGAGCAGATCCAGCCCATGACACTGCAGCCACTTAACCCACAGGAGATGCTGGGAGCAGGAACACTGGGGAGAAGGGAACTGAAACAATAGTTCCTGCAGTTATCCTGATAAAAGGGGAAAAAAAGAGGATGCCCTGGGTAATTTAGTGCAGCGATGCAGATGGACTTCCAGGAAGATGGTTGAGTGCACTTGTCTCTCAGAAAAACTGCAGTCAGACTCCGGAGTTTGAAACTGGACAAGATTGATTCCACCTGGGCCGGTCTCACCAGGGAAGCTTCAGCTCCTCACAACCCCTCTGGGCAGGGACAGCCCCCTCAAATACACCCCAGAACTGATTTGGACCCTTCCCTTGCATGAGCCATGGTGGGAGCTGAAATCCTGTGGGAAATGGGTTCCAAGGAAGGCACACGGTGCACTTCAAACACAAACACATCTTCCCTCCACATCACCTGCACCAGCAGCTTCCCAGCCTGCTCCCACTCCGCCCTCCCATTCCTCCATCCCTGCCTGACTCCTCACTTTCCAGAATTAGAAACCAGGCTCATCCCTCCTTACTCCCCAAAGACAGTGAGCTCTCCAACTGGGAGCCAACATGCTAGCAGGCCTCCTGGAGAATATTCCATTATCTCACTGCTTGTATGGATTTAAGAGAATATAAACATTTAATAGGTTATTTTTTGCCTTTCAGCCACAGAAATGTAATCTTCTGGTAGGAAAAAAAACAGGGAGGAGAGGACATGAAAGCCAGGTTTAAAGTTATTTAAATCATTCATTTTCTCCAACCAATTACTAGGTCAGGGAACATCCAACACTAACACCTGGAACTGGAAGGCATTGGGACAGTGCTGTGCTATAAAAATCTATCTGTCTGTCATCCAGTGCAGCAATCACTGCTTGCCTGCTTGTCTTTTATCAGTGCAGGGCTGCTCCCAGTTATTTAGCTCCTAATAAAAACTGTAATTATGAGGCTTCCAACATTTCAGCTGGCTCAATTCCTCAAAAGAAGGGAGAAAAAAAAAAAAAGCCACATAACTGTAAACGGCATTGGGAGGTTCACAAATAGCTTCAGGGGCGCAAGAGAGCTCAGCCAAGATGCTACGGGAGGTCTGCAGGATTCAAATGGCAAGCTGGAATGTGTCCAGGGAAGGGACTGGAGCTAGGGAAGGAGCTACAGCACCAGGAGCAGCTGAAGGTGCTGGGGAAGCTCAGCCTGGAAAAAAGGAGGCTCAGGGGGGACTTTCTGGCTCTGCACAACCCCCTGACAGGAGAGGGAAGCCAGGGGGGCGGGGTTGGGCTCTGCTCCCAGGGAACAAAGGACAGAGGAACAAAGGACAAGGAAACGGCCTCAAGCAACACCAGGGAAGGTTCAGGTTGGATATTAGAGAAAATAATTCACTGAAAGGGTTGTCAGGATTGAACAGGCTGCCCAGGGCAGTGGTGGAGTCACACCACGCTGGGAAGTGTTCAAAAGATGTGTGAATGTGGCACTTGGGGACATGGTTTAGAGGTGAACACGGCAGTGCTGGCCAGTTGTTGGACTCAGTGACCCCAGAGAGCTCCTCCAGCCTGAAGGACACTCTGCAAGCTCCCCCCATGCAGACAAACCTTTGCCAAGGTGTGTGTTGATGGACATGTATCTCGCTGTTCCCGTGAGACTCTTGTGCTCCCTGTAGGGAATGTGTTTTTTGGTTTCAGGGTCAATGTACTCCTTGGCCAATCCAAAGTCTATGATGTGGATGACGTGCTCCTTCTTATTGCCCTGCCGGCCAATGAGGAAGTTCTCCGGCTTGACATCCCGGTAGATGAGGTTCTTGGAATGCACGTACTCCATCCGAGAGATCTGCAAAAGGAGGGAAATGTGACTTGTGAGCAGAGCTCCGGCTCCCAGCAGAGCTGGGAGAGGAATGTGTCATCCCCTCCTTTCCAAGGCTATCACGCTGTGCTCCCTGCTTTATTCCCACGGAAATGGCAAAGGCTGTTTCTGAGGCGTTACCACTGGGATGCAGCTCTTGGCAGGATGCCACGGGGAGCTGCAGCAGCCTTTTTGTATTGATTTTAAACATACTAAACCGGTTACCAAGAGCTCTTCCCTTGCCCACCTCCTTCCCCTGTTGCTCTGTGTCTTACCACCTTCCTCCCTCGATCCATATGGTGTCTTAGACATGCCAGATTCTTCATGGAGGGGGATTTTTGGGCAGGCAGAAGCTTTACGATCTTCAAAGCTGACTAAAATAATAATTAATTTCACTGCTGTCAACTAGGAATAGCTGGAATATTTTTCAGCTTTTGACTAGTGCTTTTCTGGAAGTTTGACTGAATGGGAAGGTGGAAGGGCAGGAACCTCACCTCTGAGGTGACAGAGTGCCTCTAACAACACACCTTATTCAGAAGATCCTCATTAAAATTGCTTTTGAAAACAAACATATTGCAGGTGTATTGTCAAGCAGTTCTCCTTTGGGTCCTGAATTTAGGAGAAGATTCCAAAGGAAAAGAATTCTCAATTTAATTTCATTTATTACCTTTAGTTGCCTTTATGTGTTTCACACGAACACACATGAACCCCTATTTATGGCTGTCCTGGTCACAGCTGCCCTGCATGCCAAAGGGCACAGTGCCTTAAACAAGATACTTTGGAAAGGCTACTGGGATCGACCCAGATATCTGAGGGCTGGAAATGCCAGGAAAGCTCTGCAAAGTTCCACCAACTCCCAGTTTTGCACTAACGAGCCTCAGTCCCCAGAGGTCACTGCCACACCGCTGCGAGGGACAGCCAGTGCCAGAACACCGGGGGACATCCAGGGTGAGGGCCACAGCTTGGTCATCCCTTGGCACACAGCTGGTCACCCCCATGGGTGGATCCTGCTGGGAAAGCTCCGCAGGCTGGAGTCTGGCTCACTGAGCCAGCTCTCCCCCAGCCAAGCAGCAGGGACCCCCTGTCAGCCCTTCCAACCCCCTGCTCACTCCTTTGGGCTGGCAGACCCTGACTGCTCCTTCATCTCTCACTGAATCCAGACACATTCCCAGCTGGCAAACCCAGACCACTCTTTCTCTTTACAGATCTTGGATCCACACCTGGTTTTAAAAGTGATGCATGTGATCCTCCATCACACTCCCAGGCCCTCACCATGCACCCTATTTTAAAGGAAAATCTGCTGCATTTCCATGTCTCAGAAAGAAGTAGCAGCCCTCCATATATAAAACAAACAGCTGTACAGGGAGGGCAGCAGACAGGAAAAAATTGGCTGCAGGTGAATCAGGCTTAAAAAACAGAATTTGCTCCAAGACTTTCAAAGAAGGGAACAGCACGTGCTGCAGCTCCCTCCCCTCGACGCAGTGATTGATTCCAATGTGCAGAGAAAATGGGTTTCACGGCTAACAGCCATTATTTCCAATCAATTACAGGCTGGTGCAGAGCAGAGCAGATGCTCTTCAGTCATTCTTCACACTTTGAATCACCTACAGGACACAGCAGCAGGTCGTGAGACAAAAAGCCAGGCTGGGAGGCAATTCAAATGAAGATGCAACCCTTGAAACTGGAACAAAGAGTTTCCTTGCCTCTCCACACATAACAAGCTTCCAAGTGGAGCCTCACTGGCTCATTTGATTTGTTCCTGCTACCAAAGCAGCTCAGTTGTTGAAATCCCAACAGCAATTAGAGAGCCTGAAAAGGGCCCATTTTTTTCTTCTTTAAAAACTCTCGGCAAGTTGCAGCAGGCAGGACAACAACCTGGACAGCTGAGGTGTCAGGTGAGCCATTATGCTCCAGCAGTAATCAAGGGTACTTATTTTCCTGCTTTTTTTCCTCCCACCTGCCTTTTTTGCTTCCACCACACACACACAGAGCTGCTGTGGGGTCTTTCATATTCCTTCTTTACTTCCACCTGCCTGGACGCTTCATGCTGGAGAGCTTTGCTCAGCCATGGCAGCTGAAAGACACTCCCCGAGTCAAAAAGATGTTTCTTGGAGTAGCTTCCATGCTTTATTCACTCTGACAAGACACTCTCCCTGCTGGTGGCTGCTCTGATGTGGAGGGTCTGGGCTGCATCTGCCTGAGCACACACGAGCAGCGGTGCTGCAGCACAACCTCGGCATCAACCCCGGCGTGATGTGGAGGGTCTGGGCTGCATCTCCCTTGCAGACTCTGCCTGAGCACACACGAGCAGCGGTGCTGCAGCACAACCTCGGCATCAACCCCGGCTGAAGAAGAGGGGAAGGGGAGCTGGATGCACAGGTGCAGTGCCCACTCCTTTGGGTTTGAACTACAGGCTCAGACACTGATTAATTCTTTTAGGGGCAGAGAAACCACTCGAGGAACTGGGACTAACTTGGAATTGCTCTAATACAGCAAGCACGGAATTGCTAGGGTAGATGGAAGACTGTGAATTTCATGGCCACGGCTGGCTGAGTCCATCCTTGGAGCCATAAATTTCCATTTCAGATGTCAGAGAAACCTTTAGGAGGGGGGAGAATCCCTTGGCACACAGCAGGACCCCTGTGCCGTGGTGGAGAAATGAGAGGATATTGTGACATTTAGCAGGTGCCAAAGAAACCTGTGCTTTCATGTGCCTTCCTCCTGCCAGGGCAGCAAGTGTAACAAACCCTCTTATCCCAGAAAGGTAACTCTTAAGGGACTGATCTTGACAGCAGTTCCATCTCCAGACCTTCCTGATAAATTTGAGCCCTTCTTCCACACAGCACCTGCTTAAATATAGATCAGATCAGCAGAGAATGAAATTAATCTTGTTCAAAGGCAATTTTGATGTTCACTGGTAGAAAAACATCTTGCCACAACTTGGTCCAGATCACATCCAGAGTATTTTTCCAGTGCCTGGTGGCACAACAGAGCTTGCTGTCAGCTGTCAGTGAGCTTTGTACAGGCTGGGCCTGGCCAAGAGTGAGAAACAGAAGCCTGAATAAAAAACCATTCTCCCCTGATTTATGGGCTGTGCGGACTGACATAGTGACCACATTTTAATTGCCAAGTTTGGCTTTGTTCAGGAGCTTCACCTATGGATCTGATCTACTGGATGTCTTCAGCTGCATGCGGAGTATGGAGGAAGCAGTTTGAGTCTGAACAATTCCCCAACAGGCTGCCTTCCTTGAAGACTCATTGTCATCCAGTCTCTCTTGCCCTCAGCCAGGAGAGCCTTCCTGATGTAAAACTGTGTTTGAATTCTCCTGTAATCCCACCTGGCACTTCTTAAGAGACATTGCCCTTCTTTCTCCTAGAGAAACTCCTCTTTCTTCTAACATCTGTAAAGGATTCATCCTAGTCCTGAGATGCTGCAACCTGTCAAGCTCATTCACACCAGCCAAGCAGAAATACGTATCAAAAAATATCTTTCCAGGATGTCTCTGGTTAAAAACTGACCACAGGACTGGTTGCTCCTACAGACATGGGGATCATCCTAAGTATGAGGAGAAACATCAGGGGACAAATGCCCATGGTTAGAATTACAGCAGCTTAAGCAGACTTGGCCAGTCAGAAGCAGGAACAAAACGTAATTCATGGATGGGAGCCCAAGGAGTTTGAGAGTCCAGCCTCCCTTTCTCATGTCTCGCACAGGAGTGTGACAGTGACTGCAATCATTTAGTGTGGGAGAAAGACAATTTTCCCTAAAGCCTTGCAGCTAGAGCAGAGTTTTTATTTCATTTGAGCAGTAAGTGCCAGTCCCTTTGGAAAACACTTCTCCCAGGGCCAGGTGATGGGGCACACCTGAGGATGCTGAATCTGTCTCCTTAGATGTGCACACTCCAAGCTGGCAACTCATGTAACCTCCCTGAGGGGACTGAGAAGTCCCTACAACATCTCCCCATGGCCAGAGGAGCACCTGATCCTTTAGAAGAACATCAGCTCCTCCATTTCCAACTGCTGTCCCCCTGCATCAGCCTCAGCATGTGTTTTCCACCTGGCACCAGTGCCTTGGTGAGCTGCAGCCTGGCCACAAGATCAGTGGGTGATGCCAGTGAAGAACATCCAAGCCCAGAGCTGAGCTGCAGCCCTGGGACTCGGCAGAAGGCAGCAGCCATGGCTGTGACAATCTTGATTTCCCCAGCAGTCCCCTGGGAATGAATTTACATCTTTATATTTTCCTTGCAAAGGTCACACAAGCTGTATCTGAGGCTTTGCCAGCTGTCACCACTTGATTTAATCAAAGCCAATACTATAAATTGGTTTTCCATTGATAAAGAAACACTCAAACCTAAGAGAACTTGACTGCTCTGCTACGGGAGGCCTCAGTAACAGGCAGCTGCTGTTCAAACTTCTGCAGTTCTGATCTCAGTTTTCCATTTGAGATTCTGCTGTGTCAAATTTCAGTTTATCTGGAAAGGATTGTGTTCCTCATCCCTTACATCTCCTCTTCCCTACCATGCTTCTATCCACAGAGCTATTACTGTGAATATACAATCCCAGCTCTGCTGTGGAGTATCTGGGTGATCCCAAGGTCCAGCTATGCAAAATCTGGGTATCTGCAGATATTTATGTACTTGGGAATCTGCAAACCAGTCTGAAAACCAAGAAAGCCAAACTGACTGGCTGGCCCCACTGACTTGTGGAAGTTTCCACACCACATTTAGTATGTTCAGCTTTCATGTTGCTCACTTTTAACACAAACCCAAATCCAAGCCTGGATCCCTTCCAGCTTGACTTTCTTTCCTTTTCAGATACATTAAAGGCTCTGTGATGTTGCCCATAGAGGTATTCTATTCCAAGTGTCAGGAATTTAAACCCATTTGACTGACCAATTTTTTGACCAAATTGGACAAAAGCAGAGCTCTCAAATGCCGCTGTTTTGGCTAAGCAGGGCTCAGCTCCCACTGCCCTGTGAGGTTTCAGGCCAGTTGCACCAAACCAGCAGGACTGGTGGGAGTGTGGGAGGGTGCTGTGCTCTGTGTCCCACGGAGCGGCTGAGAAATGAGATGTTCCTGGGATGTCCAAACAGAGAGAGGGAGCTGGGGCAGGGGCGGGTAGGGGACATGGGACGCAAGTCTGTAGGAATCCAGCTTCACTGGTTCTGCTGTGCAGGGAGCCAGCTTCTCATAAGCCTAATCTGACCTTCCCTACATAGATAGGAGTCCTCCTCACCCCTGAGAAGTTTTCTGTTATAAGAAAGATGGAGAGGGACCTTGGACAAGGGACTGGAGTGACAAGGACAAGGGGAAATTGCTTTCTGCTGCCAGAACACAGGGTTAGATGGGATACTGGGGAGAATGTGTGGCTGGTGAGGCCCTGGCACAGGTTTCCCAGAGAAGCTGTGGCTGCCCTATGCCTGGAAATGTTCCAGGCCGGGTTGGATGGGGTTTGGAGCAATCTGGGATAGTGGAAGTTATCTCTGCCTTGGCAGGGAGGGTGGGATTAGATCTTTGAAGGTTCCTTCCAACTCAACCCACCCGGTGATTCTGTGATGGAAGAAGATTCTCTCAGCCCTGAACCTTGCACGGTGCCCACCCTAGGATGGAAGGACACCCAAGGACACGCCAGGGCAGGGCCCTGCCACCACTCACCAGCTGAATGGCAATCATTAACACCGTCTTCAGAGTGAAGGTCCTGTCACAGAGGTCAAACAGATCTTCCAAGCTGGGACCAAGCAGCTCCAATACCATGGCATTGTACTTTCCACAGGGTCCAAAGTAATACACCTGGGGGAGCCCTTCAGCTGGAAGAATTGGAAAAGAACTGGAATCAGTCAACGGGACAACGTTAATTCCCCTCCCCCTGCATGCACACCTTTTGTTAGGCAGTTTTATTGTCACTTCTTGAGTGTTCTATCTGATGCTGCCCAGCAAGGAAATAAGTCCCAGCACAAACTGTGACTGAACCAAAGGCCAAACCAGTGCAGGCTCTGCTCAGCTACACCCTTGCACAGACAAATGGGATTTCAGAGCAATTAACAAGTCCACCCGAAAGCATCCAGCTTTGGCAGATTAAAGGTTTGGATTTAGGGAACAAGACATAGAGTTCCTTGTGTTCCACTAAACACTGGGAGAGAACAGCCCCAGATGTGGGCTGGCACTTGTTGGAGCAGTAAGGAAGATGACAGTCCTTGGAGAAAATGAAGCATAGCCAAAAAAGAGCTGCTTTGTCACCAAAATAGCACCCAGCCCTTGTTTTTCAGCACAACATTTCACAAAGTTTACACTCAGTAAAAAGGAAAAAACCCTTTTCCCATAAAATAGGGAAAAGTTTTACGTTGTGACCAATCACCACACAAAAACAGGCGCTCATGGTCATTAGCATGTGTGCACACAACACAACTATCAACACCCAACTGGTAGGAGCCAGAGCCCCTCTTCCCACCCAACAGACTGCTCTGTGGGAGTGCAGTGTTGACACTCAGCTGGCAGGGGATTTTTGGGTGGATCAGCTTCCTGAAAGGCATCAGAAGGAAAGGGAAGACTCAGAGAGCTGCACAGCACTCCTGGAATTACCTTTGAGTCAAAAAGGAAACCACAGCAGCCCATAGAGGAGGAATTTAGCACAGGCCCAACTGCTCATTTTGCTAATCAGCACCTGCACCAGCACTCGGCGTCCCAGCGTCAGCAGCAAGCTGGGTAACACGTTTAAATATCTATGTATTTCCAGTCTACACCTCACAAGCAGCTCCAAAACACAACAGAAAGGTTTTGTTTTTGAAATACAGGGCTTTGTCTTATGTCAAAACAAAATATTTGCTTGAATGCCCAAAGATACGGCGTTCTGCTATTCAGTGTAAAGGCTGAGCACGGGGAGCACTGCTATGTTTTCCCACAGAGATCCACAAATTATAGTGCACAGGACCTGAAAGCACTGTGATTACTAATTTTATGGCATGTTTTAAACAAGTGCAGGCACATACCTGGATTTGCATAAGTGATCAATGTTAGATATAGCAAAATACTTGACTAATTAAGTGCACAGTTTGGTGCTGGCTCTGTGAGGTGCTCAGGCAGTGACACATTCCAGGCTGGAGAGAATGTCAGCAACACAACAAGTGCATGTCCTACTCCAGATTTAGGGAAGCCCTGCTAATCCACCCAATGGCACTCAGAACTCTGCAACCTGCCAACAACATAACAAATGCAGCACTGAGATCACTAAACTGTAAATATCACAGACCTTGTGCTCCCAAGTGCTGCTCCAAAAGAACAGAATGCAGTTTGACAAAGATTACCCGAGGAGGGTTTAAATCTCATTAATTCACATGCTCAGGGAATATGTCATCAGGATGCATTAATGGGATATTACAGAGTATTGCAGGAATTCCCTGCCTAACCAGTGTTTTGTAAAACACTGACCCAACCTGGGTTTGGGAGGCTGCTGCTCCTAACAGAGCTCCATGCTTTAGGAAGCAGTCACAGTCATTAAATCCTCTAGGAACACAGGATGGTTTGATGCAGAAGCAATTCAGAAAGCCAAACAATGATGGGATATGATCGAGGCATGGCAAAGATGCTTTCAAATATCCCCAAATCCACACAAATGGCAATTTAATGTCATCAGCTTAGTGCTGAAGGCTGGAATAATTGCAACAGGTCTTGAAGTGACTCACAGTGAGCCCCTGGGTTTTCAGTAAAGTCTGATGAGGACCTACCTTACAAAGTCACCTCTAACACCAGATAAGCATCTCTACTTTTTAGAGAATAATAGAATAATAATAGAGAAGAAGAGAGTAACAGAATATTTTATGCAAAATTTAAACCTGAGTCCATTATAGATTCTAGACACAGACAAACCACAGGTACCTCTACCACAATTTCTACAAGTCTCAAATATAGTGGAACTGAGGAAGGAATTAGAGTTAGGACTCTGCTAACTGAGGTATGCAGGAGAACAAAACTGCAGAAAGGCTCTTAGAAAAGGTGAAGGATCCTGTTTGCAGATCAGGGGAAGATGAGAACATTTAATTTACAGCCTCACTTGGTAAGGGGCGAACATTGCAATCAAAAAGAAATTCCTACTCGGCATAAGACCCAGGAAGACATTATAGCAAGACCCAAAAGATGGAGATTTCATGTAGGGAAGGAAAGAACACTACTTAGTGCTCTCTGAGATCCCAATTCCTTCAGCTTTACCTACTCAGAGCTTACAGCCCAGAGCTTGGAGTACCCTCATTCTTTTAAACCCTCAGGAAAGCTCTGCTTTCTGTGGGAGCTCTGGCAAGGTGAGGCCTTAGTGAAGAACATAAAAAAACCATCCTAAATGTCAGAATACAGGAGACATCATTGGCTTCAGGCATATTTTTAGGGTTCGATTTTTCCCTGAGGGTTTTCTCTGACTGCCAGCTCTGCAGTCAAGGACTTCCCTCTTGCCTTTGCCAGGATAAAGCTGCTGTAACATCTCTCTGAATTCCAGAGCCAGGCTGCACTGCTGTGTCCTGGATCCAAAGGAGCATCGCTGAGGAGCCCTGTGGAGCTCCCAGCCCACACCAAGGATCCTCAGCTCCACACTAGTTATGGAAATAAAGCTGGGAGGAACTTGGCATAACACATCCTCAGCTCACTCAGCTCACTCCAACTCAACTCAACATTCACCATCTTTTTGGGAAGAGGAGAAGCTCGAAAGATGAACTTGCTGTACACATTAAAGGGTGTGCTGGCAGATAAAACTGGATGAAACTTGAGATACAGGCAGCTCCAGAGCCATTCTGAACAGTAAAAAGGGTCAGCCTAAGAAAATCTGCATAAAATTTGACGTTGTCACAGCCCATCTGCATAATTTATGACGTAGCTTGGCTCTATTTCAGTGAAAAGCATTGTGCCCTGGTGCTGAGTCCATTGTCACAGTGAACCACAGGAACTCCAGAAATATCACCAGCAGATCTGTAAATACTTAAGAAGGATGTTGCCAACTAAAGAGATTGATGGAGGAAAAAGGACTTTTTTTGCCTGGGCAGTTGGAATTGAGGTTTTTAATGGAAAGCAATCGCATTGGGAGAGGACTGGAAAGGTCACACAAAGCCATGGTGTCATGCTGTGGGTGAGCAGCTCTGAACTCAGACACTCAGGGATGAAAAGCCACCAGCAGAGCAGAGTCTCATGCTGAGGATTCAAAGGTACATCTCAACACTTGAAGTACAAACCATGATCTGTTTAATGCAATTAATGCATGAAATCACATCAGAACTAGGAATTTCTCCATGGTATCAAACAAGAGCAATACACTAAGGGAAGAAAATACAGGCATGGTATGTGCAGGTTCTCCTTTGGAGGAAAACCAGTTTATTACAGCAGAGACTGCTGCAAGCAGAAATCATCTCAATTTGCTTAACGGCTTTGGTCTCGCTGCTGAGTGATTTGGCTCAGCTACATGGAAAAGGGCCCACTCCACCCTCACTCTCACAGGAAGTTTATCACCCCAATAAACACAGACTGATTGCTGCACCGGAATCCACAGGCAAATTCTGCTATTTCAGCAGAGTGATGTCTTGGAAGAAATTCAAGCTGAGCACAGCGAAAACCTAGCAAAGCATTTTGTAGATTAAAGCATCACTGCTGGAAAGAGAGCAAATGCAGACATCAAAGCCAAAAACTCAAGACTTTGATTCCCCCACACTCCCGAGACTGGCCTTGGCTTTCCGGGGATGCTAAACTCTCACTGCTCCTGGGCTGCCACCAAAAGGGACTTTCCCATCCTTCCTCGTGCTTTGTGGCTGAGCAATATGTTGGATCAACCCAAAAAACACTTGGCTTGAGCTTCAACACAAGAATGGGAACAAAGAGCAGGATTGCTGCTCTTCCAGAGAGCTTCATCTGAGCCAGATTAACACCCGGAGCAACACCTTTCAGGAACTTCCATCACAGGATCAAGTGCCCTGGATGATTTGAGTAATGCTATCTGGCTGCCCTATCTTTTACAGCATGACTAATGGCCACAAAACTCCTCAGACACCCAACATACTCCAAAAAACCACACTAGTTCAGGCACACAGGCATTCCAAAGCCATTTCCAGGACTGGTTATGGAACGGCGATGGGCAGAGATGCCAATCTAAGGTTATGCCCGAGGGAAATCAGAGTTTGCAGCACCTGCCTTGCATGGAAGCAGAACCCACCTGCTCCAGAAGAGCACCTGGCCTGAGGCTCTGTGTAAGCACCATGAGAGGCTATGAACAGACTTCATCAACAGCAAATAAAATACATCCAAGGAGGAACGAGGGAGCAAGTGCAGGAAGCTGCACGTGACATCTACATCAATGGAAGGACAAGTGCCACATCCCCACACAGCAGTTCACCAGAAACATCCAGAGCTTGTGATCAATATCAGCAGTTTCTGAACCACCCATAGTTTTTGCTCCCATGGGGAGTTGTTTTCCACTGCCCTTCAATGAGGTTTAGGCAAATAGAGAAGCTGATGTCATCAATTTCAAGAATTAAAGAAGGATTCAGACCCTCTCCTCATGCAGGTTTTGACACTGAGCTCTATTGCAGAGGGGAGACACTCCTGAAGAGCCCCAAATCCCACACTAAGAGTGGGGAGGAATCCAAGGCCAGCAAAAAGCTGATGCTTGACACAAACCCACGCTCTGTGTGGGCAGCAAGAACTCTTTCTCACTGAAAGAGATGCAGACACACACCAGAAGCATCAGTGCACAGAAAGTTCTGTGTGGTTTTAAAAAGGCTCTGATGAATGGGCCATAGATTGTCACAAAATTCTCATTCAGAGCAGAAAGTTTATTTTT